GGAGCAAAGGCCGGGATGATCGTAACGGCATAACGAAAGGAGGGGCCCGGAGTCGTGTGAGTCACTTGCCATAAAACGCGATCACCCTTCGCGTAACCCTAGGATACCCTAGACGTTTCACCCATTCTAGGGCAGGGTTTTGCCAACCGCGACGCGTAAACATTTTATCCGATTCTCTGCTCGTCGAAACTCTTTGAAGGAAGTGGCTTCCTTGCGATAATCTAAAAAAAAAAATAAATATCGAAGATTTCTTTCGCATTGGAAAAACAATTTTTCTCCTTTTCCAATTTTTGACGACACATTAAATACGAATGGATCAACGTCGTGAAACAGGAAATGGTATTTCGAGAGAGATTGAAACGTTTCCTCGAATCGTTGCAAAATTCGGGAAGTTTGGGAGCGCGGCAAAATCTTCGATATAGTAGGGTGAGACGAGAGCATTTGATGTCGGAGTAATTACTCCTTTGAGAATGAACGTCTAAAGCCCGAAGTCAATAAGATCTCGGTGTTTGAACTTCCGCAAAAGCAACCGCGTTCTCGAACAGAGTGATGGCGATGCCGTGGCAATAAAATCGAATACCGTTGAAAGGAGGGAGGGAAAAATTAAATTTCGATCTTAATCCGCGCCTCCTCCCTCTCGAACGACTCGATTAGTTGACCGCGTAATTCGACTCTTGACTCGAATTCGTTTTAAACGGATTAAATCGGGAGGAAATCCGAAGGCTCGAGAGAAAAATATACGCACGATTCTATCCCGCCTTTCATCGCTTAATCGCGCTACTAGCTTCTCCATCTCGCAGACTTTGAGCAGACCTCGTTTTTTTTTTTTTTTTTTTTTTTTTTTTTTTTTTTCGGTAACGAGCTTTACCCTCTCCAGACGAGCCTCTTCTTCTCGGCCGATTCGCCCCGCATCGTTTGATCTTGGCCTCGGCTACGTGTACCGGCAACCCGAACAAGGGGCATTTACGCGAAACTGCTTTCCTGAACCAGACGTCCAAGGGGGAAGGCAGGCGCAAGGTGGGTAGGGTAGGGTTAAGGTTCGAGCCGAAAGGGGGAGGAAGAGAGGAAAATAAAGGTAAAGGGTGGATTTATTGGTCCGAGAAGACACGACTCCCCCCTTTAAGAAAGTAAAAGTAATGACGATTGTAAAAGACAATTACGTCGGACGTTTCGAAGGGAAGAAGGGGAGGAGGGGAGGGAGATGGAAAGGAGAGGAAATAAAGTGAAGTTCGAGGTCAAGAAGATGAAGGACGAGTTAATGGAGAAGGCTGGGAAAGAACTGAAAAAAAAAAAAAAAAAAAAGAAAAGAAAAGAAAAAAGAGGGGAACAGAGTTGAAGAGAGAAGTGAAAAAGAGTGAAAGTGGAATAAAGTTCAGGATCAAGAAAATGAGAGACGAGTTAATAGGGAGGAGAAGAGTTGAGAAAAAAGAAAAGAAAAGAAAAGAAAAAAGAGAAAGAGAAGAGTGAAAGGGGATGAAAAGAAGCGAAAATGGAGTGAAGTTCAGGGACAAGAAAATAAGAGGCGGGTTAATAGAGAGGATAGAAGTGGGAGTAAGAAAAGAAAAGAGAAAGAAAAAAAATAAAAGACGGAGGAACTGAAAAATGAGTGAGAAGAAAAAAAAAAGTGAGTGGGATAAAGTGGAGGAGGAAGTGGAGGAAGGTGGAAGGGAGAAGGAGCAAGACGCATAGGGAAGTCGCGCAAGTATGCACTTGAGCGTTCGGTTTCGTTCGCAATCTCAGGAGTTTGCATCCGGCTGGATGCACACCAAGTAGTGCACGAGTTTCGAAAGGGGGAGTCCGGTGCACGGAGATACGGAAGCTTACGAAGCCAACGAGACGTGGCACCGGTTCGTTGGGACACACGAATCTCGGCAGGCTAGGGTTAACGAGGCTGTGGAGAACGGACAATAATGAATCTCGAAAAGGAAAGGAAATATCGCTCTCCTCAACTTCGACTAATGGTGGCAGTCGTCTCCCTCTTCAACCTTACTCCTGTTCAACCAGAGTTTACCATTGTAGCATTGTGTGTGCATTATGCGGAGTAACATCCTTTGGATGGAAGGTAGTGCTATGCGATACTCAAGAAAAGAATGTTTAGCGTGTTCCGCCATAGAAACGAATTTAACCTGAAGCACCCTCCTCTTTGAAGAGTCCGCGGGCTTAATTAAGTCACGTATACTTACGTGGGATGAGTGAGAAACGGAGAAAATTGAGCCGTAAAGCGCACTCGGGACCCTTTTGAAAATTTAGGGAAAAATCTTCGATAAGTCGAAGAATCGACACTAACTCCGTCTCAATTAACTTTCCCTTATATACTTTTCCCTTTTTTCTCTCTATTCGATCAGATTCTCGATCAAGTTTCGATATTGACGAAAAATTATTACGAGATATTTTAAATTTCATTTCATACTTACGCTACTCCGAATCGCTCGAAATTCGATTATTCGCTCGGTTTGCTCTGTTATCTACATATTCATATCCGTATTACGTAACGTATACGTTTTATTAACGAAGTATTCATGGAAATTATAGTACGCGTATTCCGTTAACATACCGCGAAGGATCGAAAACCGTGGAGAATATTGATTCGACCTCTCTCCGGCGTCCGCTCATTTTCACTTGCAATCTCGTAGCGTGGAATTTTCTGTAGCTCGACGCGCAGAATAATCTCGCGAGTTATCGATCCGTGAAACTAATTCACGGAAAGAAAAAGAAGAAGAAGAAGAAGAAGAAGAAAAATAGGAAAAATGGAAAGGAAATCGTGGAGCTGAGAGTCCCAGGGAATTCGTATTCCTATTGCCTATTTCTACGATATATCAAAGTGGAAAGGGGAAGCGGTAATCGCGAGGTAAGACAAGGGGGAAAACGTTTCGGGGGAGCATTTAGAAGTAGTACAAGTCGAAGGGTGAGAAGCTCTTCCGGGACCGAGAGAACGATCTCTCCAAGGGCAGAGCACAGGAATGGTGAATTTTACACACAGAGAAACGCGAAAACGCTCCACTCTTTCCACCTTCGTTCTCTGTCTTTCATTTTCCCTTCTTTTTTCTTTTTCTCCTCATCCCTCCTATTTCCATCCCGTTCCACCGTTGGAACTTTCTCGGTTCCGAGCCCCTCGAATTACAGAAAGCCTTTATTATCGACGCATAGAAACGCTCGCTCTGTCTGTGCACACAACGGAAATTGCTCGAGAACGCTCGAATATCATCTTCGCGACGGAGAGTTTAATTGGCTAAAGTCACTTCTGCCCCTCGACAACAGCTGACCTCGGCAAAGATATGAAAATGGATCCCGATGCCTCGAAAATAAATGCTTTTTATATTTCCTTTTGCTCTACCATACTTTCATCGTACGATGATCGACAATTTTTTTTTTTTTCCATTATTAACGATACACGAAACGCAATCGCGATAATGATCAAGAATGAATCATGATTAGTTAACGAATCAATTCCGTTGGTAATAATTATTAATAGTATGGAAATTGATGTAACGAAGAGGGGGAAAAGAGGTTCTTAACCTTAAGAGATAGGTGCATGGTTAAAAACAATTGAGAAATTTATTGCGCACTCACATCGCGAATCGTTTCTATGATACGATCGTTGATCGAATTCGATAAATCGTGACGCTAATGCATACTGTCACAAAACAATGATGTTAACGAGAAGTTGTAACGCGAGTTTGAATGACAAAAAGTAATTGTTAACTTTATCGATAAGAATTTATGTCTATGCGAGTCTTTGTGTCTCCTGTCTGAATGAATTTTGTTTAATCTCAACAGATAACAATTGATATTTCAATGTTTTTTATCAGAATGAACGAAAGTGTATTGTTTTCGAATTTCAAACGGTTCTTTACACAAAAATCGTAATCTGTTTCCTCTTTTCTCTTCTTTTTAAAAATGAAAATACGGAAAGGTTAGTTGAAAGAAAAGTAGCAGCCCACGCATGAAATATCAATAGTCTCTGAACATGGATGTTTTTCTAAGAGTCTATACATACGCGTTCGCCACGCCACGCAACACTTGCGTCAAGATAATAAACTAGCCATTCTATATTTTATTTTTAAAGTCACGATAAAATTTTTATCTCTTGGAAAATTTATTAATTTTAAACCGAAATTAGACATGTATACGTTCCAAACGAATTATATACTTGTTCGCGATGTTTTTTCCGCAATGAATACGCACTCTGATGCAACCTAAACTGGTTAGTTTACAACCAAGAACATAGTAGCGTGTAATTGTCTGGAAATTATGGAATGGAAACTTTTGGAACAAAGTTTCTAACCCGACATCGGTTTGCCTTTTGTCGCGAATGCGGACGGATCTGCACTTTGACGCACAAACTCCCTCGCTTTGAATGAAAAAGAATGTGAAACGCAGGGGTGTAGTAGGCAGTCGGGATCCGAGCGAGGAATTGACGGCTAATTTTCGTTAAAAAGCGGTGAATAGTGTAGGTCGCAGTAGCAGCAACGATAGGGTTTCGAAGAATGGACGAACGGAGGAATGAGAGGAACGGTGAAACAGAGGGAAATGGGGAAACGGTTGAATATCGGGGAAACGGTTATACGTTTAATGAAAAACCGTGTGGCTGCATCGCGTGCACATCCCGTAACTGTATTATCTTGCAAGTTTATTCATTCGGCGGTAGTGGAGAAAACAGTTCGCATTCCCGGTTTAATTCGCGATATCACGACCGTGGTGCATTCAGAATGGCTAATTAATCGAGCTAATAATTAAAATGTACGTATTGCGCGCCAGCGTCACCGGTAAACTTTTCTATTCGACTTTGCCAACGAATATTTTATGATATGAGATCTATACAATAATCATTTTATTTGAAAAAGTGTTTGTTTCAAAATTTTCGAATTGTGTTATTGTTTTAAGAACGTTTTTAATGTTAAAATTGTACGATTGATTATTCCCGCGTTTCACCGTCTTGTTCACAGATATTGATATTTATAGAAGAAAATACAATTTATATGCAAATTGATGGGACTCACCTGTCGATAAAACCATCTCCGTCGCCGTCGCATGCTTGAAACAGCTTCCTGACGCGTTCCTCGTCGCAGATGGAGCCTGCTTCACTTTCAGCATCCGCAGTTTGTGACATTTTCACTTTATCTTTTGTTTATCCATTGTAACGAATTATCAGCACACTATACCGCTGTTTCGTGTCCATCTTTTCTTACGTTTTCTCCTTGTCACGTTCAGAAATTGGTTATAACGCTACTCGCATCTCGAGCTTTTTTCGTTGCACAGGTACATCCTTCAGAACACAATTATCGTATTAAAATCAACGTAAATCTTTCGAATTTTGGCAACGAGACGTTCTTGGGTCTTTGAACTCGCGTCAAACATATAGGACCAACACGATGGATCGTTAAGTCACGTGTTGCATCGCGATTCATTAATCGATTTCGAGAGATATATACTCAAACCATCGACCGCCTCCGCAATCACGTTCGAGGAATGAAAAGGTCTACGAACCTCAGTGGAAGCAACGGCTATTTTTAGACCGCTTAAAGTATGTAGATTCCCTTGTTCCAGAAGACTTTACTGATACATAAGGTATAAACAGATCAACTACAAGAGTGCGCATCATTCTCTCGCTAATGTATTTTTAACGCACGAATTTCTTTAAAATTTTACAACACAACTTCACGTAGGCGTTTGTCTTGTCACTGGATCATCGAAAAGGATAAGACAGTTTCGTTTTTTCCGTGTCGTTGTGCACACATGAGAACTTGTAACCGCCGTTTCCAGTGTCACTGAGTCACTAACCCTAACCTCAAAACCGGACTCGAGACTCGAGACTCACCCACCCTTGCGAGACGTATAGCGGCAATAAAAACTATCGATTGAGCGTTGCGCGGTCAAAAAACTTTGACAGCTCGCGCCATCTTGAAATTTTCGTACGATAAAAACAAAGATGGCGACCATAGCAGTGAGCCGGCAAACGGCATGTTCCAGTTTCACCGTCAGATGTCACCACATGAAGTAACGAATCTCTCAGTAAACGAATAATTTAAAAAATTACGTAAACGTAAAGACGAGAGAAATATCAAAAATAAATTATGTTTATTACCAATATTTTTGAAGAAAAATACAACTAAATTTTTTTGTACATATGAGGTAACTTAAGAATAGTATAAATTTCATATATATATATATTTATATTAATGTAATATTTATAATAACGATTTACGATTTTAACTTTTCAGCCAACGTAGGCAAAAGTTTTTTCAGTTTACCTGCATCGTGACTATAAGCCCACATTATACATCGAATATGTCCTTCGGTGGGTAAACCTTCAAATTCACCATCCGTTTCGAACCATTTCTTTTGTTCTTTGACACGATCTACAACATTTTGAAGATTCTTATTCCTCTCTATATCCCAGGTAATACTCGAATCTGGAACTTGAACGTTTCTCAGTTTCTTATAATCTCCATCCACTTCTTCGTACGCTCTGCAGAGTATATCAAAAAAATAATTTCCGGTAAAAATTTTAATAACAATTATTAAATTATCTCAATGAAAATTGACTTACTTAAGAAATCCATTATCTTCGATTTTGTACTTATCCGCCAATGGCTTGTAGGATCGTACCAAATCGATGGATAAATAATCGAAGTTCATCTTTGCTCGGCCATTTACTTTGAAATCGGTGATCCAATTGTCGAACACTTCTATAGCTTCTTTTATATTCTTGAGTTTTTGCTCGTCCTTTGTGCACGATATCACCCGCTCAGCTCTTTTCACAAGGCCAGAGATCGCGTGGTACTGATAATTTAGATCCCTACCTTCCAGTAACTTGATAGTCTGCAAAGCCTTCTCTTTATCTTTAAAACCGAGTCCGCTCTCCTCTTTTTCAGTCTTTTCCTCGTCGGTCGATCGTCTCGATTTTTTCTCCGGTTCTTCATTCTCGTCGTCATCGCTGGACGAGCTGTCGTGCTTCCTCTTCTTAGCCTTGCTCTTGACATCCTCGTCGATCTCCATATCTTCGTTATTCTCAGATCCAAACTTTTCCTCCACCTGAGCTACGAGTTTCTTCAATTTGCTCGATTCTGGACTGTAGCCCAACATGATGCACTGTACGTGCTCTTTAGTTGGAAGCCCCCGAAAATCACCAACGTCGGTTTCGAACCATTGTACGTGGTCTTGTTTGATCTTATTGATAATTTTTTTCAATTTTCGATTTCTCTCGATATCCCAAGTGGTCTCACCGCTCGGAATTTTAACCGATCGTAGACCCTTGTAATCACCTTTCTCTTTTTTGTACGCGCTGAAACATTACAACAAACACGATCACTCGATTTGAAAGGAAATTTACTCGGAGGGAAAAGAACAGAAAAATCTAGTAATAGTTACTTATAGAATTCTTCCTCCAGAACATCGTACTTTTTGGCAAGGCTCTTGAAGCCTTTTATAGTCTCGATTGGCAAGTAAGCGAGGTTTTCTTTACTGCGATTGTTTTCTTTGTAGTTAGCGAGCCAATCCTCGAATACTTTCAAAGCTTCTCGTATATTGGCCAATTTTTCCTCGTCCCTTGTAATCTGCAGCGTTCTTTTCGCGCGGCTGACAAAACTGGCAATCACGTGGTACTGATAACTGATATCTCGACCGTCCAGAGCTTTCAGCGTGTCCAAGGCCTTTTGCTTATCCTTGAAACCCATCACGGATTCTTCCGGTTCCGTTGATTTGCTTCTCCCCATTGCTAAAATTAAATACGTTCGTTGTTATGCACGATTGAAGATTCGTACGAGATCGCGTGCATCGTGTTACCACGCACGTGAGTTGCGGCGCAAATTTGCGTGATCGATCGAAAAGCAAAATATTAATAAGTTAATTCTTTAGAAAAATAGAGATACACAAACACTCGATAAGCGTATGACGCTAGAATGTCAATTTTATCGTTGACGTAGTCGACTATGGAGGGATCAATAAACAGACAATTGACTAAATTATACGTATATTCGGCATTTGCATCTTTAATGATAGTTTCGTCTATCTTGAAAAAAAAAAAAAAAAANAAAAAAAAAAAAAAAAAATAGAGCGTACGTCATCAAGATTTCTCGATTAAAATTAACGAAACAAGGAGAAGAAACTTTGTGACAAATACTCACCAATTTGCAACGCAAGTTCCCGTTTGCTATGATAATATGATCGATTTGATTAAATCACAGATATTGTTTTCAATTGACAGGTGTAACGATTTCAAGAGGCTGGATACGATTCTTCCGTGATTGTACGACTGACAGCGGTTAGACAGGTTTACCGGGAGCCGGCTCGGCCTGATGTTCACCAATGATACATTTGCTCGTGGTGGAAAAAGGATGGGCGAGTTGGGAGTCGGCGGAAAAGAGAGGGGTCGACATAAACATATCTACTATGTGTCACAGCCCGAAATACGCATTCGACCTCAGTCCATGGTCTTGGGCTTACGTCACTAACCGCTAATACATTTGCGAAAAGGATCAACATGGAAAGCTGATTGAAAATGTATCGACGAACACACATTCAAGTATCATTCTTCTCTGTGCCATTAAGTCATACTCGCATAATCGCTTATATTAATTCGCAATCTTTATGTACAGTTTCGATACGATGAAAATTCTCGAACATTCTTCTAGCGATAATTCTTGCAGCATTTCACCCGATGATGACATAGGAAGATAAACTTGGTAATGACGCTGTTTAAGAATATTCCCTCCGTTCAGATTGTTTCAATAGATTTATTCGATATTTACAGAAGTTACACAGTATCCTGATGAACTACTCGGACACGGGCATGTAACAACGATCACAAGCGATTGGATCTCCCTAGAGGGCGGAGGGGAAGGGGAGAGGGGATTACTCGATTTTTAACGATTTGTAACGCCTTCAAATTTCTCTATTTACAAGATTCATGGCACCCGCAATTCGAGTCTGGATCGTTACAATTATCGATGATCGCTCAACAACGTTCGACGCTTTACATTTCAAGGATCAAATTTACTCTGTGTGCGCAGATTGCTTCTAATTTTCTTGTAAATTAGAACCATCGTGCGATCATGGATAAACGCATGCCTCGTCGTCGAAAATTCAAATTACGCGTTCCATTTAACACCTGCACGCGTTATACGCAAGCCATCTATACAAATGTAGAACGCGTACGGATTACGGGGCGATCTATGACTAGATTATTTAGTCGAAAAGTCGAAAAGACTTTCCGTCTTTCGGTAACGTGGAAATAGATTCAGCAGACGCAGCTACCCACACCGAGGCAGGCGTAAGAAGTTTGCTCGATCTTGGAGCTGGTGGTGGTAGCGTCTAGCAAGGTTGGCTGCGAGAGCGTAGAGGCGGCCGGTAATTGCGATCTCTGCACACCATCGTATAAAATCGATGACGTCTCTCGTTCTCTGCTGATACCTTCTGATGTTTCCTGCGCGTACGGGATCCTCGCCAGTTCTTGGCTCCTCGATTCGGTCGGGGCGTCGTGGGACGACAAACGACCGTAGTTCAGGAAGGTCTCTGCGTAACTCGATGGCGGATGATGATGGGTGCTGTTGTACTCGTGCGAATAATGAGAATGATATCTATTCGATGGTGTTTTGAAACCCTCGTTTCCACCGAGATATTGGTGCAGATGATGCAAACTCGATGGCCCGTACACTATGTTCGTTTGAAAATCGAATCGTTAATCTTTCTTTGTAATTTGAAGAAGTGTTAGAAGCAATACTCTTGTAATATTAGTTACTGACCTGCCGCCGTGTTCGAGTACATAGCAAGGACCGCATCACCGTAACCAGAGGTAGGATGTTTCGATATATCGGACACATCGTTCGACGACGATATTTTCCCGGATATCGATTGACTTCGAACACCATTTTGTACTTCACTGGGAAGCCCGGACCCGGATCCCGCAGACCCGTACGCCATGTTGAAAAGCGCTTCCGGATCACAGACGAATTTGTACACGTATCTTTCTCCCGCTACCTTCTGCATTATCCCTTTCTCGTAGTAATACCTCAACGACCTGCTCAATTTGTCATAATTCATCGCCGGTCGATTCTTTTGAACACCCCATCTACGAGCCACCTGAATGGAATAAAAGAAAGAAAGAAAGAAAGAAAGAAAGGAATATCACTTTATCGTTATTAACATTTCAGAGAATATATTCATCGGTGCAATCTTATATATACCTCTTCCGGTTCGATGAGCTTGAACTCCATCCCGCGACCGGTCCACGCGATGCAAGGCGCGTTCGCTGGATCGTCCAGCAAGGTGACCAAAAATTGCCACAACTGCAGAGAACCTCGACGTTGCTGCTGATATCCAACCGACATCTCGCTCCAAGGTGACACTCCTGTCGTCGAGGATGGTCTCTTTCCAGCGTAATCCGCGTTCCACGAGGTAGGAGAGCCTTTCTTCTGGTAACAGTTACTCTGTCTCTCCCACGACGGATTCCTACTGTCCAACTGAACTCCTAGCTCGGTCCACGTGGGAGTCACGCTCCTCTTGCCGTATACATCCGAGCTCCAATTCTCTTGTCGCGGGAAGAAAGCTTCACCCGAAGCCGGAACCGCCGATTGCCATTGGGAAGCGGCGGACGAAGTGCTTGCTGGTCGACTGGGCGATGGCGAACCTCTGGCGTTCCCGTATTGCGGCTGATAAACCATGCTGTTACCTACGCGTATTTATTTATCATTTATCATTAATATCGTTTAAAAATTCTCGAAAATAACAAGTCTGACTTTTGTGTTTGGCCGAAGAGGATAGGAGGAAGAGGGGGATAGAGGGAGGAAGAAGAGCGAAAGGGAATGAGAACGAAATGGACGAGAGCGAAGACAGGAGGAGGCTGGATCGGAGGAGGAGGCGCGAAAAAGAAGGAAACTCGAGCGATGTATTAGCGATTGCACTCACGCGCGGTCGCCGGTGAAGTGCTCGTCACACAAATATCGGCAGGAAATTGGTTGATATTCAAAGCCCACGGGGTTGCCGGAGCATTGCGGAGCTCGCGGATAGCTGCACCGCCTGAAATACCGCGCGTAGCTCGCGCGATATGTATATTAATCGGGTGCTCTCCTCGCAGGGAGAGCCCGCCACCGCCGGCATCCCACCGATCCCGTGGTCCCTCGAGCCGAAAAAGCTATTCTCGAACCGTAATCCGGTTACGCTCCAAGTCGTGTACGGGGAATATTGAAAAATTGAGAGCCCTCTTCCCGATACCGAGCGATACCCCCGGAACGCGGCGCTTGCCACCCCGTCATGCATCGTCATCTTTTTGCTCGTCGATTAAAAATCGTGCTTCGTTCCGTTGTAAAGGGAACAGACGATTATTCCAAAGATTATGATTACTCAAAAAAAAGAAAAAAAAAAAACTGAAACCTCAGCTGTGTGTACACGTATTCGGTATTAATGGGAAATCTTTAATCATCGGAATTAAAGGGGAACGGAAGAATGGTCGAGAAAGTTAATCGTGTCGCGTGAAGTTAGTCTTAGTTTCTAGTCAACGAGTGCAACGTCGTTGATGAGATCGCGATCTCGCGACGAGACGAGAGACAGGCAGGAATCGCGGGGCGAAGGAGAGGGGTTGAAAGCTGCGGGCCAATCTGGCACTCACTCTCCGAAGAGGGGCGAAAGGGGCTCGAGCTCGGCGTGCAAGCGGGGCCAGAGGCTTTGCGGGTAGTTTTAGATTAAAATTAATCGCGAGCTGATGAAACCGGTGGCGATGTAGCAAGCAGGAAAAGGGTTGGTGAACCAGGCTGGTCAGGGGCGGTGCGCAGAAGGGTTGCACGGAAAAGAGGACGGCCTCCACTCGTCCACTCTCAGACGAGAAGCTTTGGCTCTTTCTTCTCTTTCTCTCCATCTGTCTATCCATCTCTCTCTCTCTCTCTCTCTCTCTTTCTCTCTCTATCTATCTCCTTCGTACCCTCGTACGACCCTCCTCTTCTCATTTTCTCCTCCGCCCCTGTCTTTATCCTGCTATCTCTGTCTCCCTGATCCCCGAATTCCGGAGTAGAGGCTGGTTAATAATGCAAGGTCCATTTTCCACCCACCTGACGCGCCGAAATGCCCTTCTTCTCTTTCTGCCCATTCACGAAGGAATGTTTTGCGCGAGAACGAATCGATTCGCGACAACAACTAATTCATTCTCGCTTATTATATATATATATATATATATATATACATACATACATACATACATACATACATACATACACGCGATTAAGATTATTAATTTTAAGGATCGTAAACGGGAGGAAAGTTTACTCGGTCGGCTACGGTCGACGAAACTTGGGGCCGATTGTAATCCTCGTGATCCTCGTGTCGGTATTAATTAGCGAGATGGTGACCAATCTCCCTCACCCATTAACAGGTTATTACTATTCCACCCGCTACATTGGTCAACGACAGGTCGATTTAGCGGGAATGGGAGACGGTAACGTTTAACGTGTGCTCCCCAGCGCGCGAGCGATCATCGATGATTTCCTCGTCGTCAATGATGTCCTCTGAAACGACGATTACTTTCTTTCGTTCGTGAATTTAATCAGAGAGAAGAATCGTAGGGAATGTTTCCATCTATGGGAAATGCGTGATACGCGTCGAATCGGGGCCGGGGTATCGATAACTATAGGTTAGATGATCCTATTATTAATCTAAACTGCGTGTAAATAATTGAAACGGCTTAATGGGAGGGAGAATTATGCGAAGAGAAGTAGAAGCGTAATTCCCGGGTGACTTGGAAGTAAATGGGAGTAGACGAGCACGGTGTCGGGCAGCGAATATAGCAACCTAAAGGATTCGTTCGGTGTACGTGCGTGAATAAAGGAAGACTAATCGGTCCGATTACAAAGCATGAGGTTGCAAATGCCTGTTTCGTCCTACCTTTTACGAATAGATCGCGCGAAAACTATCTATTAGGTAAATGGAGTGCGTGGCCTTCCCTCACCACGGAGATCTTCGATCTCATCAAATTCAACAACGACGGTAAAAAAATTCTTCCCTCGAACGAGAGCGGAATTCCTCCTCTCGCGAGAGAAAGATTTTTACGACTTGCAACATCCCCGGGGAGGGAGAGAATTCTACGCTCTTTCCTTCGTTTAGCAGCTTTCGTTGGATTTTACGAAGCGCTTCTCGGTTGCTCTCGAGTTGAAAGCATTCTTCAATTATTCACTTACGTGTACTTAGTCACGCGTGGGCGAGTCCACTGTAACAACAACGACGAACTTACACCGGGATTATCAACGAGTTGATACGTCTTCTCCGCGTTGAAACGTCGCTGAAAACGTTATTAAATCCGCGCCTCGTCCAAAAACCATCTCTCTCGGCCTCGTGCCGGGAATGGAACGAAGAACGAAGCGTGGATGGATATCGTCGACGGCGATTAAAACGCAAAATTCGATTCATCGAATATAGATTCGGTGGAAAGCGTTGCGAAGACAGAGGCCGGAAGAAGGAGTAGAGCTAGAGCTCGATTAATGGATGGAACATGGAGTATTTCCCCCCGTGCTCCAGTTATTTATGGGATCTATGGGGTAGCAAAGCGCCACGTGGATCTATTGTCGAGAGATTTGTCACGGTGCACGTTCGAGAGGAGGGTATGGTCGGTTCGGGAATCTCGGTTGTGCCGATAGGAGCCACTAAGAGCGCTCTAGGAGAGCATTATCCGTCGAATCGTGTCCTCTCTTTCTTCGCTTCACCGCTATTAATTTCATTCATTTTGGTAAATCAGTGATTCCTTACCGTTTCGAGTGTCCTGGGCCGTCGACGTGGGGATATTCGTCACGGATATCGGCTCCCCATATCCCCTGTCCGCTGGTTCCTCCTTCACCGCTACATTCTTCGTGGTTTCGCTCGTCCGTGAATTCATCTTGCTGTTTCTGTTTTAACGACAACGTACGAGCAACACGTGCTGCGTTTATAATTATTATATTTATACTTAATTCGTGGAAATTTCGAATTAATATCCTCTTACCCAAAGCAATTATTGCGATTCTCAGGATCGAGGTCGAGGAAGGTGGTACTTTGCGTATGATTCACCGACTGATACTGCGAATAATTAGTGTCGTTGATTCTTCTGCAGTTGGCGGATTCCTGTTTGACACTCGCGCCTGTGGAAAAGAGTAAGGCGCGCGTCGACGTATGAATCGATGATAAATTCTCATCGCCGATTAGCGTGAAAAACTTTAAGGGTGGACGTTCGGAGGAATAGATTTGAATGGAAAAATATATATATATATATATATATATATATTTTAGGAAGAGGGATACTGTCCCTCGATGGATGTACAGATGAACGGTGAATGATTTTAACGATCGAATCGAGGATCGTTCCTTGGGACGAAGATCGGCGGGGTGGCGGAGGGACAGAAGGGCGCGTGTCCTGGCGGAAGCTAAGGCGCATCGTTGCAGCGGCACGTGGGGGTGGGTTCGCTTCCTAATGGGGCCGTCGACGATTTTGCGCGGCCGAGGGTGCGCCCTCGATAAATCAAACAGACTCTGGCCGTGGGAAGCATAAGTCAGAGGCCTCCGGCAATCATTGTATTTGCAAACATCGGAAGTTTACTCGCTACGGGAGAACCACCGACTCGACGGTACGAAAGAATCGGTACGAACGTCTCGTTTCCATTGAAAAAAAAAAAAAAAAAGAAAAGAAAAGAAAATGGAATCGGACGCTGTCCGGCAAATTTTCGATGTTCTTCGACGATCGAACTCGTAAAATTCGATTTCGATTCGTCTCGATTTTTCTTTAGTTATAATAGTAACGATAACAGCGCGAATTTTCGTCTCTTCGTGTCGGTGGACACATACGACCAAGGTGGAAAGAAAATACGCGTGTGAGCATTATTTTTTTTTCTTTCTTTCTTTCTTTTTTTTTTTTCTTTTTTTCGATGTTACACTAATATACCGGGTGCAACAACATCCGGTATATTACGATATATATATCTGGAATAAAAGTTTATCTGGTAAATCCAAACCCGTCGACCGATCTGTTTATCCCGAACGGGGCTCTCCCTTTGATTGTTTGCATTCGTATTACGCGTGCAAACGGGCCGGTTAGTTCTCGCTCCGTGTCGAGCAATTGATGATGAAAATTAACGGGTAAAGGATAAATTTGATAGACGCGAGACGAGGTATCACGTTACAATTTCGATAACGCGGTCGACAATGCGGATCACTAAAAGGAATTTTATCAATTTCGTTCAATTGAATCGGATAAAGATCGGATTAATCGCGCGTAAAATTTTCCTTATAGAAAATTTGATACACGCGCGAGGATAGAGAAGAACACGTGCACGCGTCGTGTATAGATAAGCATATAGACATTATCCGTCATTCCCTCTGGCCGTTTGCTCCTCTATTCTATACGCGTATCGAAATATTTGCCAGATCTCCGTACACGCGCCAGATTCGAGAGAAATTTTCTTAAGAATCTCGTGAGAACGTTAACGAATCGATTTCTTCGATGAAGAGGAAGTTTTTCTTTTTCTTTTTCTTTTTTTTTTTTTTTTTTTTTTTTTTTTTTGCGCGCGCGCGATATTAAAGCGGCTTTGATAAACGGCAGTCGAGAGAGAGAGAAAGAGAGAGAGAGAGAGATGCTAATCAGCCAAAGGTTCGAGAAAGAAGAAGAAAAAAAGAGATTTAATATAAAGTGCTTCCTCGTGTAATGCGATATCGATAATCATCGGCAGTCTTCTGTTGATACTTTCTTGCCACTTTAGAAACACCGGCCCCGGGCGATTTATTGGCTTTTTTTTAATATTGCCCGTCGATATTGCTTCGGGAAAAAAAAAAAAGAAATCTCATTGTCAAACGAGAGGAGAGAAAAACCGATACAATTTTTAATAATACTTAATAGACAAGAAGGGAGGGACGGTCTCGGGATTCAAGGGTGAACACGCGAGTCGCGAGAACGCGAATTCGTAGTAGTTTCCTATTTGGCCAGGTTCTTTCCGTATTAACGATTAAATTGCATATGCGATACATTTCCGTGCAGCTTCCGTTTCTGTTGAGATTGACTTCCTTCGACATTCGTGCCTCATTACTTGACGCGATCGAAACGTAGTAATAAGATAAATCGTAAGGGAAATCGTCGCGTCTTGCTTCGAAAATCGATCGATAATCGCAGAAAAAATGATATCTCCATTACACTAACTTGACATACGATGGAACTCCGGCACGTACTGCTCGCTGTCTTCCGTTTCGCAGCTGCTACCTACAACGAAATTCGTAAAATTATTTCGAATATTTCGTGGTTTATGGAGAGAAAATGAAAAATAGAGAGAGAAGAAAAATAAATAAATAAAATGAAATGATAATAATAATAACGATAAATAAATAATAAGAAACGAAAGATTATCGAGGTGTTAAGTTGATGATTCGTTGGGATCGGCCATTGGATAGTTGGCCGTTCCATTGGCAGAACGTCCCCTCGTTATCGCGATTATTACATTGCATCCACCGTGCATTACATTACAGTTCGTCAAAATAATCAAAATTAATGTTCCGGACAGTGAGGCCACTGTTTCTAATCACCTTCGAGGAAGATTTACGTTACGCGGCTTGAAATGGAGCCTCGTTCCCTCGTTTGTTTTATAAGGAATAATACGAGTCTATAAGAATTTTACCGTGGCGCTTCTAGTTTGCAGAAACTCTGTGCTGTTTCACTGAAAGGGAAGCGGAACGGAAGTCGGGTGTTTTAAAGCATTATACCGAGCTTTGCTTTTATAATTCAGTCGAGTTAATGGAAACTACGATAACGATTTTATTGCGAACCAGGAAATATATATTAATTTTGATATTTTTTCTTTTTTTTTTTATTTTACGATTCCGGATAATATTGATTTGTAAAATTTGAAAAGGAAAAGTAAAAAAAAAAAAAGAAAAAATTATTTCGCCCGAACAGGGACTCGAACCCTGGACCCTCAGATTAAAAGTCTGATGCTCTACCGACTGAGCTATCCAGGCAGCTGTTAACTTCCGTCTCAATGTATGTAGAAATATCCATTTTTTTTAATATTAATGCAATATAAATTATTTATAAAGAAACTCACTCACCATCTTGAAGCCATGATTCTTGTCTATATTCCTGTGTCGGGTATATTTCATTTTCTGAAATGAAATTCACGTCTTCTTTTACACGATTATTTCTCTTTAATTTTATACAACAACAATAATAACAATAATAATAAAAAAATTTAATTATTTTATTCCATATCGATACATGGAATAAAATATTTTGAATAGATATATAAATAGAAATAATTTAAATTTGTATAATCAATATAATCCAATCGATAAAAAGATAGAATTCAAACATTGCAATATTAATATCGAATAGCTTTCTTATATGTCTTACATTTTAATTCAAGCGAGTCAGGCAAGAAATTAGTTGACAGCATGATGATTAATGGTTATTCGGGGATAATTACCTCACCGTGAAATTAATCCTTCATTCATATTCAACCATATTATTTCGTCAAATTCAATAAATATTCATTAACGATAAAAATATTATTCTAAATCATAATTATTCCAACGATTATATATACGAAGCGTGCATTCGTTCGTGCATAAAACGATCCTTGAATAATTATGTCACGATGAGACACGATATCTGAGTTGTAATAAGATTCGACGAGACGGGGATCGTAAGAAGGAACAAAGACTGAACATTGAGGGATGAATCAGTGGCAAAAACAACCCCTTTCAATGTAAGTGATATACGTATATATAAGAATGCGGCAGAAATGTATGTTAGGGGTCCGTTTAATGGGCCTCTAGGATTCGCCACGGGTAGCCACTTGACAGTAACCTCGTTTTGTTCGTAGCGACAATCCAGTCTGACGAAACGAATTTACTTCATAGCTCGTGGATAATAAACGCGTTTCGCTACGAGACAATGATATATACGCGAACCGAAATTCGAGATACAGGATTCTATATTTCTAAACGAACAACGATATTAAAGTTTTAACGATATTAAAGTCACGGTTTGGAGAATTTCAGAATTATTTAAACCAATTTTCTTCCTTCTTTGGAAGAAAAATTTCGCGTTACTATTCCCCGCGTTTTTTGATCCTTGATGAAAAATGACTTACATTCGAAACTGATTAAAAAATAGGTTATTGAAATACTTTTAAAAAGAATCTTACATTTCTATGGATGCATAGAGTATCGTTGGAGTAATATTTTCACCGTAATTTCGTTTCCATTTCGCGCTCGGGTCTGGAAAACGAGAAGAGAGTGGTGGAAGAGAGTTCGTTCTTTCGACGTTTCAATATTTCTTCGCGACGAATCGTCGCCGAAAAGTGGATGGGGAGGGTGGCAGGGCGTAACGTGATTACGATAGAGAAATTGCAGCATTATAGGCAGTGATTGAGTTAGGTGGAGGCGGACCATCCTGACTGGTGGTTCACACCACGGCATGCCAATGTTAGATATAAAGTGTCAATCACGGTGCCCAGACGCCGCTAGGGTGGTTACGAATCCTGTGGGGGTACGGTCGGGGCTTCGACTACCCCATGGGGCTCTTTGCGGCGATAACACGTTGCTTATTGAATTCGTCCTGAGGATTCACGCTCCTGATGTCGCGTTTCTGGGTCAAGGCTAGTAAGTAAAACTATCGATATCGAGGGGATTAATTGAAGCGCAAATTCCACTCGTTCGTATCGTCCAACGATTACAAAATTACTGCCCATCTTCGCCCTAAACTACTGCGATAACAGCACATCGACAATTTTTTTTTCTTTTTTTGGAGTTAAAGAGGAAGAGCCATTCGATCCTAAAAATTTTCTTCGAACGAAACTCGATAGAATCGATCCTCATTCATTGAAATTCAAACAACGCAACGAGATTTAATTATTAGTCACGACGAATCCCGGGATTATTCGGGATAGAATTAATCGAGGGAATAGAATAATTCGACAAAATAGCGCGTGATTGTAGAATTAATTATCCAACGAGGAACTTATGTTTTTATTAAAGAATAAAGAAGATGGTGAGATGTTTGAAAAATCTTCTCACTCTTTCGTCACAGTCTTAAAACGTAATTGCATCGTAGAAAATAATATCATCGTTGATGCGACTATATAAAGATATTGACTCGACTGCCTGCCGGTGACAGCCTCTCTTCAGGGGGTGGTTCTCCCTTCTCCCCCGTTGTACACAGTTCGCGTACATCCTGCACGTGCTTTGGGCCGCCGCTACGCTTTCTTGTGCCTGCGTGAAACCTTCCTTCGTGTAAGTACGTGTTTACTACGAAGACGTGGCCGAGACGACTCCATGTCACGGAGGAGAGCCGTCGTTCGCTCTCGCTCGAGAAACGTCTCGTATCAAAGAGCTTGAAAATCGAGGGGATGGCGACCCGAACGGATGGATCGCCCTCTCGACCTTTCCACGCTCGCGAAAAGTCTTATCGCGATACACGAACAAATCGAAAGGAAATATCGAAAGGAATATCGAATAGCTGCTACGATCATTCCAAATATATTCCGATCGACACCGATTCTCTCTTCTCTCGTGTTCATTGCTACACTTACCGGGATGCAGCTTCTCCTCGGTGTTTGACTGCGTCACGGGATAACTTGTCGGACAATATCCTGTTGCAACTGTTTGAAGCGGTTCGTTCAGCCTGTTGAATTCCTCGCTCGGCTGTAAACATTAAAGATCCGAGTTAAAATTGTTACATTTTCAGACAGAGTTTCGTTTCAAGTTTTCAATTCCGCGTTTTTAATCCGAACGGGTTGATTTTCAAGGAATCGATTCCGCGAACCGATATTTCAGATATTTCAGATCAGGGAATAGAAAAAAAGTCTCTCACTCAGTTTGCCTAGAAATCTTATCGGGCGAGGAAAAAAGACGAAGACAATCGGCGCGATGTAAAATCGCAGGAAGAAAGGAGAAAAAGAGAAAGAGAGAGAGAGAGAGAGAGAGAGGCAATTTGGAGGAGAAAGGGGATAGAGAAGCGGGATTTTAAAGTAGCGTAGCGGGTACAATGAGAAGGAAGAAGAAGAAGAGAAGGAGGAGGAGGAGGAGGAGGAGAGGGAGAGGGAGAGGGAGAACGTGCGAGAGAGGAGGCAAGGAGGACATCCGGTGAACGATTGGATGGTTTCCTCCTTGCGGAGCAATCTAGTGGTAAAGCCGGTTACCGGTTTTGGAAATTCCAATAACGCCTTGTCGCCGTCTGCTTTTCCTTTATGAAGTTTCACTGTACCCTCTACCGATCGCTTACACTTTAAAAAAATCGAAAAAGATGGTTCGCTTTTACGAAAACTTTGAACACGCGAACACGCTTGACTACTCACTCGTCAAAATCTTCTTGATCGATCCTTTTTTTGATTAATTTTTCTTTAAACGGTTTACCGTCATTTAATAGTTGGCGCAAAAAAAAAAAAATATATATATATATATATATTTTTTTATTGATTATATATACACGCGGTAATCACTTTATCGCCAAGATTAACCGTCATTTTTCTTTTATACTTAATTCGACAGGATATTATCATTTATAGAGACTTGATAATCAACTTCCACCTTTACAGGTTCAGTTAGTCTTACGTTCATTCAGCCTCGTCCCCCTTGGATTTTCCTCTGATTGCAATTAATAGTCATTTATAATTAGTCGCCGCGATGGTTCAGCACTCGTAATCCACAAGCTGTGCCCTCTAATATAAATTTTAATTACATTCCCCGATATTACGTTCAATCTTTAATCCCGCCAACCCGATATCAAACGGTATTTAACGGCACGACAGCGTTAAACGCGAGAGATAAAGAATGCATAGTGCGGTTTCACGGTGTACACATCTCTCTCCCCTATCCATATTCTATCTAAAATTTTAAAAATATCTTCACCTCGCATGTATCGCGTAATAATACACGAGATCGTGCGACACGATTTTTTCACAAAACTCTCCGTTCAACCCGATCTTCGTCCATCCGATCGGAAGTTAATCGAGTGCATTGAACGGAGCAACGAGTCGTTGAGGAGAGCGAGCAAACATGGTCGCGTGTCGTTTAACTTTTTCTGTACACCCACCCCTCCACCCCACGTACCCCTGACCTTTCCCATCGGGAACGGCGTTTCCGTGTAAAAGACGCGCTTGTAAGTGGATCGTTTGGGGTACGTGTGTCATGTACGGACAAACGTATTCGTACGTTTGTATCCAGTGAAAACGAGATACCCATGAATCGTGAGGAACGCCCCATCGTTCCTGATGATGCTACGAGGGGTCGTCACCCCAATTCCCTTCGTACACCACCCTCGTAATTGCGCACTTCGGTTCAGTTTATAATAAAGTCATCGAGCAGACAACACGTTCCAACCAGACTCCCCTCTTTCTATATAGATCTCTCGTATTCGATTTCGTTCCATCGATTCGCGACATAAACCAGAAAATATCTCTTAAGAGATTCGATATCGATATGGATTTTAAAATTATAAGTAATAATAATCTGATTTTGATAAAATCGATCGGATTGGAAAACTCGTAAGATTTTCTATTTCATTAAAGGTCGTCCAATTTTCAACAAAGAGTCGGTCGTCCAATTTGATCAATTAGGAGTGGCAAAAGGCGTTGCCGCCACTTTCACGAGAAAACGTCGCCCTTTTTTTCCTTTCCGTCGCTTTCTCTCGGGCGAGGGTGCGAAGACAATGACGGTTTCCAAGCCAAGAATACGAACAATACCGTGGATGACAGCAAATCTCACGATTACAACGTCTCACGGACTCTATCTACTAATTGCTCTCCCTTACTTTTTTCTTTCTCTCTCGTGAAAAGAAGAAAACAATTTCATCGACGCGTATCTTCGATACCCTTTCATTTCCAGTTCACATTTCGAGCCTCCCTCCATATAAGTTTCGATGGCCGTCACAACACTTTTCAACAATTTTAATCGAAACAAATAACTTTCCAGGTAAATAACTCACGTGGCGTTAAACGTGGATCCCCGAAAAAGGGGTCTCTAATCATGGGAAACTCGAGTGGCAGCATATGCTGCCTGATAGAAGAGGAGTCAATTAACCGACGGATCGGCGTAACAGGGCCGATGTGTGGGAATCGAGTGATTTTTTGAATCAACAAACATAAATCAAGTGTTTCCGCGGCCGAGTCCCTTCGTCGAGGGTTGCCCGTTGCCCACCCACGGTTTCTCGGTGTCATAGTCACGGTGGTGGCCCCGTGCACGGGAATATTCCGCCACCGGGGTGACCAGGAGGGTTGAATGGTGGCGACAATTACGTGTTTAGGGGGCACACAAGGGGTGGCACCCGTGGGACGATCTATCGGAGCGTGGTGGCGCGTGCCACGGCAATTCGACACTCGAGGATCATCGCGCGAGTACATTGCATTATGCGTGCAATGCCGACGTTTAACGTATCTCTCTGTCCACGCTTATGACTCCATTGTCCAATCGTAGATCGTAACTTTTGGGGGAATCGGAAACAGGAGTCACGTTGACGAGTTTGCTTTTTATTCGTAATCGAGTTTTTATGTCGATGACTGATTCATGTGTTATAATTATCGTGTTTAAAATATTTTTATTACATTATATTATGTTATATTATATTATGTTAATTACGATTTGAATAGGTCGATAGATTAAAATGTAGAAACAGGTTAAATTTGAATGAAATAATATAATTCGGAAATAATATAATTCGCGTACGTAACAGAAATTATCATTGCTTTTGCATTTAACGAAGAAAATTATTTCTTATTCCGATAATTATAATTGTTGCATTTAATCGAAATGGATATCTGTCTATGGGTGATTGCGAAGCTTTTAAATACTCAAGTTACAAGACAATAAATATTTTTTTATCTTACCAGTCTAGCTAGATCCGTTGTCGTAGCTGGTACTTCTTGATCCTGATTCATTCTCGTCCCCTTTTTCAGACTTTTATTTTTCCAAAAGCGTTCGTCACAGATTTCACGAAAATGTCACGGGTTATCGACAGACCGAACAGATCACACGAACTGTCCCGATAATTTAAAAGTCACGTTACTGCACCGTCAAGATCAAAGATAGAACTGAGACGAGTGATTTGATCTCAGTGAACAGTGAAAAGACGGGGTGTATGCATCGGGGGTTGTGTCTATGGTACGTCTACGCCCACAACGTGGTAGAGAAATCAGCCCTGCGCGGGCTACCCTGACTAGGGGTTGCTTCCAACCACTGCACGGTAGGCGGGGCCTTAAAATCATTGGTGACCTTCTCTTAATACTACAGAGCTTTGTGCTTCGACAACACCTACGAGAACACCTCTTTTCGTTGGGATTCTTTGTTAATCTTGCGATTCGTTTTCCTAACACCACAATGTCCTATGTTCTGTATAGCGTTTGTAAGAATGAAAAAATTTCAATTCATTTTTAATAAGTGAATTCTTATTTCAAATATATTTCTCGATTCTTTAATATCTTCTTTTAATATAAAAATTTATATAAAATTTAATATAAAATTTTTAAGAGAAAAATAATTGGACGATAACTAAATTGGATTATATTGTTATATACAAAGATATAATGATTAAATATTGATTTCATTTCTATTATTACGTTTATTTCGTAACATAAAACTTGCACATGGTACATGATAATTTAGGAATCCTCTTGATCATTTTCCCTCGGTTGATAAGCTTTCATTGTACGATTCACTTGTCGATAATTTGTAATCAAAAGAGTACAATAATGTAATATATATTATCAGATTTAATAGATACAAAAATGTAAATTAAAAGTAATATTAATCATACGATTTATTAAAATTTCTTTATTTTTTTCAAGATAAATATTTCAATTTGCGATCTAACTTAACAGGTATGGATAAAGTAGAGACACAGACAAATTACATACGAAGTATAAAGAGATAAAATATAAAATAAACTTATCCTATGAAATTTCGAGTAAAATTTTAAAATATTGAGTTCGAAAAAATCAAATTATTTTTTAATCACTTTAATTAACGCATAATATTTGTAATTGAATATTATATTTAAGATAAAATTGTAAAATATTTACGATAAAATTTTAATAATATTTTTATATTATAATTTATATTATATTTTATTTATATTAATTATATTTTTTGATTTTTTATTTTATATTTTATTACAGTTTTTTCAAATTTACTTGATTTTTATTTTAACTATCTTTATTATGTTTTCTTATTATGTATTTATTACATATTTCTTTTATTATATATTTGATTGATTTTTTTACATTAAATTAATTTTAATAATTTATTCATATTATATTTTTAACTCATAGAATTTTTTAATATTTTGAATTATAGGAAAACATAATTAAAATATTATATTATAATTTAATTTTCCGCGCGAATTGAAATGAATAAGAAACTGTGTCGTTTCGTGCGCGAACGAATCAAAACATTGCGAAATCCCAGCGGCTAAACAAATCAGAGAACATGGCGTCATTCGTGTGTCGAATATCGAAGCGACTAGACGTGTTACGCCGGCAAAAGTGAATGATTCTATAAAATATTTATTAGTGCTCTATTACGATTTATAAATTATTAATAATCTTAATTAATTAATACATACAATTATTGTTCATTTAATTGTTCATTTAATATTATTCCAAATTAAATAATTTTGTGAAGTTTTTTTATCATTCTCTATTGATCGTGTACTTGACCGTTATAATTATCGATATATTATAAATTCTGTTCGGATTGTAAATTCTTGAATTTAATTAAATTTGAATTTAATTATTGTTTTATTTAAATATAATTTTATTTTCACACATTTCTCTTATATTCCTGGTTTTCATTTATGCAAATTATCGTTTATTTATGAAAATAGTATCGAACTAATTGTTCGTAATATTCATATCGTTATTATTATTATTACCAATTTAATAACTTTTGCAAAAATTTAGTAAAATTTTACTTTTTTTACAAAAATAGATGTATTTAAAATAGATTTTTGATATTATATTCGTATTGTATTTATATTAGATTTCGTCAAGTTTTTTTCGATCATTCTTCATAATTATGTGTGTAAATATATATATATATATATATATATATATATTTGCATTAGATTCATATGTTAGTTCATATTATCTCTGTATTAATTTTATTTTATATATTATATTTAAGACTGAAAACATTCCTTAATACAGCAATTCTAAGAAATTGATCGTTTATGTTTATATTATACTATACTCGATTTGTTTCGACATGTCGCCGAGCTACTTGCAAATCCCCTCTCCAATTTGTAATTCGATAGACGTAATAGCGCCGCGGGGTCAGTCTACTATTGAAAATCGTTGTGATTAGACGTGATATTTTCTTCAGGTAAGTAATCTATTTATTATATATTATTTCATAGTTATTTTCATATTATTTGTATACTATTATAAAAATAGTACGTGTTTATTCTGTAATTTTTTGAATATTATTATGATTGATAATTCTTTAAAGATTAATTTATTCGTTTTTCTTCATTTAGTCTATTTATTGATAATTCGTATTGTGAACTTTCAAAATAGGATAGAATGAGTTTGATTAATACTTTATTTCGATATAATTGCTTTTAATTTTATTTTTGAAATATATTTTAAAGATTTGATTATTTTTTTGTGCAGGTTACCTGATTGCTGTGAGTATTTTCATGGCGGGAAAAAGGGATTTCCAATATGGACGCCATAATGACGATTTGATGCATTGACCAATCAGATGCTGACATATTATAGAAAACTGGTAACGTTTGATTTCTTGCATCAAAAATATATTTCTTTTTCTTGAATTAGATTAATATTTTTAATTGAAAAAATATATATATTAAGTAATTCATAATAGATCGAAAATCGTTGAAAATATAATATTTAAATGAAAATAGAAAAAATTAAATCATATTTTTGTTTCGTATATGTTAAATGATTTTTTTTATTTCATAGATTAAATTCATTCTTTCGTCATAATCTGTAATCTTTAGAAAGATAGCAATATTTTTTTTAACAAATATTCAATAAAAAAAGAATAAAAATATTTATTACTACTAACATAGTTTTATTTTCAGAAAAAATTTTAATCGCGCGCAATGCGATTAATAGAGTCAGTGTTTGCTTTGTAAAAGTTTTGAAATATTTTTTTAAAATAATAGTTCTAATTAAATTATAACAATAAATTGCAAAATTAGAGTCAGTATTTGTTCGCCGATAATAATATAAACGGACATGTTAGTTATGTTTTTTATTTTTTTATATTATTTTTTTTTTATTCGTTTCGGTCTAAGATAAAATCAGTGTTTTACTCAAGAGAATAAAGTGATCATCCATCATGCAAAAAGGTAACTATCTTTATGTAGGTTCTTTTACACGTTTTAAAAATTATTACAATTTCAATTTTTATTATTATTAGAATTTATTAAAATTTTAATCGTTATTTTTATTAAACTTTGATAGAACTTTATTTTTTATTATTTCAAAATTTTTGTTACAGATGCTGACAAATTTTATAATAGATTCATGAACTTCAATTTCAAAAAATATTTGTGATTGCGTGCAATGCGAATAGAATCAGTGCTTGTTACTAGTTTTATTAATTTATTATTTTTTAAAACTTGATAGTTATATTTAAATTTAATAGTTATATATTCGTGAAAATAGAATCAGTGTTTGTAATATAAACGATTGCAATATAAACGGACGTATTAATAGTTTTTTCTTTTCTTTTTTTTCATATGTACATTGGTTTTCGATATAGGTTAGATTCAGTGCATCAAGAAAATAAGGCGATCATCCATCACGTGAAGAGGTAACTGCTTTTTCGTGTTTAGATCTATTTCAATTTTTAGATCTGTTTCAATTTTTTTAAATCAATGCTGTTTTAAATTATAATGTTATATTATAAATAATTTTCAGCTTTCACAATCTCTCATTGGATGAATCAAGTAATATCAATGACAACAGAGATTCTTCGCATCGAATGGTGAGTTGCATGCTTTTTTATTCCTCTAGTCACTCAATCATGTCGTAGGATAAAAGATCCAAATCGATACGGGTGACTGGTTGTATATGTAAAATTTTGCATGAGCACAATGACCATGGGTATTTATTGCACCCATGAATAGTAACATTTCTTCTTCTGTTTTATTCATTAGTTCAGGATAGGGTCTTCTTGCATATCGCGTTTTTGAATAATAATAATGATTTTATAGTAATGATATATTATCATAATAATATTGCTAATTTGAATATTCCTGAATAAAACCAATATTTAAAATTAGAACATTATATAAAATATATTTAATATAAAAATTTGAAAAATCAAATATTATTATGAATGTAAGTCTATGATTAAAGCATGAATATTTAGATAAATAACAAATAATTAAAATAATTTTAATTTATGTGAAGGAATTTATCAATATTGTCAATATAAATCATTAATAATAAATCATTTTTAATTTTATTTCTTCTATTTCATACTTATTTTCATATTATGAATTAATAAAATTTATAATATAATAAAATGATAAAGTTGTTTCTTTCGTATAAAAATATATCAAATTTTATATGCAAGAAGATATTTCGCGACAGGAAGATTTCGAAATCAAGGCAGTAAGTTTTGAATATGATTTTCAAATTTTTCGAAAATTTTGCTTTGATAACGGGATCGCCTGAGGGTTTACTTCATGAATCAATTATAATATTTTTCATTAAGCATTATTAAGCATTATTAATTCATATAATTTTGCCATAAATAAATTCTCAATTATAATATTTTTCATTAAACATTATTAATATAATTCATATAATTTTGCCATAAATAAATTCTTTGCTAATATTTAATATAGCTAATTTTTTTATTCTTTCATTTAATTGATAAAGTATTATGAAAGTTTAAAATGAAATAAGAATATTTTAAATCAATAAGCTTTAGTCCGTTAGAAAGAAATTTTATAATATTAATATTTTCTAGCTCAGGATTTTCAGATTTAATCCCTTCCATATTCATTGCCAGGATCTCATTCACGTGCCCAGATGCTACTTGAATGAGAGAGAGGCGATGGACATGATGATGATAGTTTATAAGCTTATAAAAGTTTTTCAGCGACTGATGATGTATTAGTGTATCGTGCACGATGTATTTTCCACATATGTATGCGTGATTAGGCTGTGGAATTGCGTCGTTTCCGTTATTAATATATTCATAATTATTAATTCAATTTCAATTCGTAATAATAATTTTACATTATTGCTATTGTAAATAATAGTTCGAATTCATCTTATTATCAAATTATAATAATGATATAAAAATTCTATCAGTAATATTTAATATTTCTTTAATAAAGACACAAATTATGAATATTTATAATTTAAATTAAAATATAAATTAAATATACAAATTAAATATACATACATTTTTTCGTTTCACGCAATGGTCACTAGACATCGTCAGTCGATTTCAGGAAAATGGTACGTAAAGTTAGAGTGTGAAAGAAGTATGCCAAACTCGGGTGTCGGAGGCGTCCCGGGACGTTTTCCCTAGTATAGGTTTTTTTGCGCCCGAGTATTATGCGTGAGAATCGTGGAATGAATGTGTTGGTGTGCCTGTTTTGCCTATTTTTTTAAATATAGGGTTAGGTAGGATAGGTAACATACTTTCTGGTGCGAATGTTAATTATAAGTAGGTAGGGCCGGGCAGGTTGTCACAGTCTCTGGTCGGGTAGGCGCGTTTTCGCGTGACAATCTGTTTCAGGAAATCAAATTTGAAAGATCGAGAGTAAGGCTGAGACGAGTGATCATCAAGTGATCACTCGTTTCTGGCTTTGCTTTCGATTTTTCGAATTCCGTGGTCGCGGTCGCGATTTGGTTTCGAAACGAACGTTGCGCTCGAGATTCTGCATATGTACGGACAATGGTCACTATGATCATTAGTCGTCCATGTGCATTCAGTATCCGCGATTTAGACTTTTTCTTTTTTTTTTTTTTGTTTGCGAATAGGAAATCTCGAGCCTAGATTTAAGTTTCAGCGGGCATTGCGCCCGAAGGAGGAAGACCGAAGAGGCCCCGACAAACTGTCGTGAAGAGGGCTGCAACGAATGGCTTCTCATCTTTTGGATCTGTTTTGGGTCCAAAGGATGGGAAGTCATTGTTACTATTTTGTCATTGTGCTCGTTTTAGTATGTAATAGTTCATATTATATCGTCTGGCCGATATGCAATACTATATCGTCCAGATCCAGTTATGGGCATCGCGATTTTTTATTAGTATTACGATTAATTAATTACGGATTGAATTAGTGTTGCGTTAAAATGAAAATCGCGTTTGCATTAGTGTTGCGGATTTATAAAATATCGCGTTTTTTTTTATTATAAATTGTACTTTATAATTTCTTATAAAGTAATATTAAAATTTATATCATTTGTCATTAAATTCTTTAAATAATTAATTGTAGTTTTTTGTAGAATAATAATTTTTTTGTTGAATTTGCTTTAAAATGTAGTGCTGCGTTAAAAAATAATCGCGTTTGTTAAGTAGTGTTGCGAATATCGAATGCCCAAATTTATTCCACTGGAATTGTGGAAGTTTCAGTTCCTGAATCATCTGATGTAGCTGGAATAGCTATAAACAAGGGTGATTATACGATAGCAATCAAGAAGACTGCACTGGATTTCTCATTATTAGTGTTGAGTATTTAAATTTGAGTGCATATTTTATTAATATTACATTAAACTTTCAATTATTTCGGGAATTTTTTAATTTTTTTTCCTTTTTTTTTGTCAATTATATTAATTAATATTACTTTATTAGTGTATACAAAAATGAATATATATATATATATATATAGTGTATACAAGAGTGAATATATATCACTCATAATTTGTTTGGATTCATATTGATCATTTTATTTTGATAAGCCTTCTAGCTATCTTTTCTTTTTAGCATTCCCTATTAATAGAGCATTTGTTATTAAAAATATTGTTATTGATTGTTATTTTTCAAAATTATTATTTTTAAATTCAAATTTAAATTGTTTTGAATGTTTTTAATTTTAATAGAAAAAATTAGATGAATTAATAATTTTGATGATCTAATTTTTTTCAGATTAATATGTTTTTTTTCAGATATAATTTTTTTTATTATTTTTATTAATCCAATGAATTTGTTATAGATATGAATTGAAGAAAACAATTAGAATAAAGATATATGTATATCTAAAAAATATTATATGATTTCCTTATGTAATGATTGGAATTATCTGTTTTATATCTGTTTTTGAATTTTACTAATTCTTTTATAAAATTTGTTTCAGGAAGTTTCAACAAAAGAGGAGAGTCAATAAATAAATAAATAAATCTTTCAATTTTTATATAACAAAGAAATATTTAGTTTTTTAATGGAATGTTTAAAGAAATATTTAGTTTATTTGTACAAAAATTCAGATATTTATTAAAATATATTGAGTTTAAATTTGTTTCAGGAGCAGAGAAATATGCTATTTCAAAATACTCCAGATTTTCAAAAAATGCATTTCATATATCTTTGCCTTTTCACATTCCTTTTATTACATTCAGATATAAGTTAAGAATCATCAAAATCATTAGATTTTTAATTAGGCAGGTTGATTTAGATTTTCAGACAAGATTTTTAAATTTTTAAATTTTTAAATAGGTTCTTTTTAATTAAAATAAGAATATATGTAAATAGGATTATTTGTAAAAAAATATTTATAAGCATATTTTTAAGTGCATGCATAATGTTAAAAGTTAAAACAAAATGTTAAAAGTAACTCATAGATAGATAAATAATGTGAATAATTCATAGATAAAGTAATGTAATACATGATATCTTGTAAAACATATTTGGCTTATTTATTTATCTTTTTTTATGCTTTGTGTGGGTGATGGTTTGCTTATTTATTTTTTTATCTATGTTTTTTAACAATTATTATTATCTATGTTTTTTTATCAATTATTTTTCATTTTTATAACTTTGAAAATGAAAAAATATTGATAAGAAATAAAATCAAAGTTAATTTTCTTGTCGGTTTTCCTTATAATTCTTTCTGTTGTTTGTTTTGTGTACTGTAGTAGTTTGTTTTTGAACATTTTGCAAATTTTTGAGTACATTAGAAAAATAATTATTTATTTAAAAATAAATAAATTTTTGCGCAAAAGAAGAATGGATGGAATATGGATAAGGTTGGATCTTCAATCCACAACCTTCACACGAGCAATTACTATGAGATCTGAGGAATCATTATTATTGGATATATAATCATATTATTGTATAGTTATGCAATATTAATATCTGATACAATTATATATTACATAACAAATAATGTAAGTTAATTGGTTGCAATCGCGATTTTATAATAATTATGTTTTTTTGTAGATTTATCTAGTTGATTGTTGAAATTTTCTTCTCTTTTTTTTTTTTTTTTGAAGTCGGTATATTTCAGAATATGTAATTTAAAATTCCTTAAGATGTCACGTCTATCTTATTTATGATTCATTCTACAATGTCGTCTGTTGATATTACTATTTATCAACTCAAAGATACTGTAAGCGGCATCTTTCGGAACTTTTTACTGTCAATGCAATGATGTTTCACAAAATCATTCACGGATTTCGCTGTTGTCTGAATACATTTTCGAGAATATATGCGCAGAAATTTAGATCAGATTTTCTTTGATTCTCATTCTTTCTCTTTTGTGCGTTTAATTTCTTTACGCAAACCAATGACTCTACATTATTGAATGGAACCAAAAGTGTTCTATTTTTCGTGTAACAAAAATGATTTTCTTTATACTATATTTATGATTTTTTTGTGAAAAATTTTGAACTTATTATTATAATGTGGTTATCAATAGATATTATTGCTGGAAAAAGTTTATCGTGACAAGTATTACATCATCGTAAGTTGTAGGAGAGTTTTTATATTTTAAGTATTATTAATCGATAAATTTTATATCTATTGTTCTAGTAATAACTTTTATTGGTAATATATACTATATAAAATAGTCATGACAAATTTAAAATGACTTTGTTCTATTATTAAAACATTGTAACAAATTTGTAGAGAGGTTATTTTCTTTTATTCTTGAATAATCTTAGAAATATAAAATAAAATAAATATATTAATATAATTATTTTTCTTTTATTAGTTTCATGAATTGTTTGGGTTTTAATTCCCAATAAATATTAATGAGATATGCAGCATCAAGTTAAACAAAAGCATCAGCAATCCTTACTACATAAGTACAACTACAGTGGATTTAATCGTGTTATAAATCTACAAGATGTCTGCAGTAGAAACACCACATTTGATTCGCACTATAGAATGGGATATGATGGACAAGACAAAGTTTTTTCCATTGAGCATGCTTTCATCATTTTCTGTACGCTGTTGTTTATATCCCTTAACAGTAATTAAAACTCGTTTACAAGTTCAAAGGCACAATTATATGTACAATGGTAAGTTTTGAAATAAAATAAAATTTAAAAAAATTAAGATATTAAATATTTTTTTTTTTTCAGGAATGATAGATGCTTGTAAAAAGATTTATAAAATTGAAGGTATAAGTGGATTATATCGAGGATTTTGGATAAGTTCTATACAAATTGTATCTGGTGTTTTTTATGTATCTACATATGAAGGTGTACGTTACATACTTAGACAAAATGATGTTATCGGTAATATAGACTCTAGAGTCAAATCATTAATTGCTGGTGGAGCTGCTAGTTTGGTAGGCCAAACAATAGTAGTCCCTTTTGATATTTTAAGTCAGCACTTAATGGTTCTTGGGATCAACAATAAACAAGGAAAATATATAGATAAGGTAAATATATATATACATATATATAAGAATTTTTCATTATACGTAATATGTAATTTATAGATGGGTATGAATCCATTGGGTTTAATTCTTGAACCAGGAAAATCTCGTGCACAGATTTCAATAGATATTATCAAATCAATTTATCAAAGAGATGGATATAGAGGTTTTTATAGAGGATATTGTGCATCTTTATGCGCTTATGTTCCTAATAGTGCCCTTTGGTGGGGATTATATACATCGTACCAAGGTAATTGCTTTAAAACAAAAACATGAAAATTAAGATAAAAGATAACTTTTTTTTTTCTGTTAATAGAGGAGCTTGTAAGATTGTTTCCAGAATGGGTTTCTCATTTGTTTATTCAAGCAGTTGCTGGTACATTAGGAGGATTTACCACCACAATTATTACAAATCCTTTAGATATCGTACGAGCAAGGTTACAAGTACAAAGATTAGACAGTATGTTTAGTGCATTCAAAGTTCTCTGGGTGGAAGAAAAGTTGCAGATGTTTACAAAGGGACTTTCCGCCCGTCTTGTACAGTCTGCTAGTTTTAGTTTCTCAATAATTCTAGGATATGAAACTATTAAAAGATTCAGTATAGTTGAGGAGTACAAAAATTGTATTAGGTGGTGAATTTTCTAAACTTATTTGTTGTAAAATAATGTTTTCTGCCATGCATTTTTCAATAATTTCTGTTGTATTATACACAGAAATAAATAATTACGCACCAAAGAGAAAAGAATGAGATCATAGTGATCTGTTCTCTAAATTGTTTTAATAATAGTACATTTAATACATGAAATATAAAATGTAAATATGATACAAAATATATGGAAAAGTTTATTTTAAATAATAAATAATAATTGATTATAAATTTTAAAGAGAATATAATTGTTAATCGATATTTATATTTTTTCCTATTGTTTTAGCACCTAAATTTTTCTAATAATTTTAAAGGAATAATTTTTATTTAATAAAATCATTGTTTTCATACAAAATTTATAATGTAATGAAAAATAGATATATTGCTGTGATAAAATACAATAAATAGGAATATGTTTTTATGATAAATAGAAATAAATAAAATAAATAAATTTATTAATTGTATTAATAATAATATTCAATTGTATTGAAATGAATGGATAAATGAAATAGATAAAGAATAAATAATATTTTTTTATTTCAATTTTATTATAAAGAACAACATATTGATAGACACATTTTTGTTGTAGGTATTTAAGTGATTTTCACAATATGATTCTTGTACATGAATCGATACTCTTTATTTTCGCACTTTATGTCTTAAAAATTAAATGTACAATAGGATTCCATTTCTTCACATTCTTTATATTTTATGTACAGGCCAAGAAAGTTTTTAATCTACGCAATATAATGCGAATTATACACGCATTCACATTCTCATTGTTTATTACGTATGTATAATAATTTAATAATACATTTGTCAGATGTAAATAACTTTTCATCTTGTAGTTTTAAAAAGCATTTAGTTTTCGAATAACAAAAATTGCATGTACATATAGAAATATTCTGTGAAAAACAGTATATCCAATAAAAAGTATTATATATTAATTAACAATTTATTATTTCATGCATTCTTAATACAGCAGAAATATATACTTGAATGATGTAATATAAATAGAAAGTTATAAATAGTATTTAAATTGGACGCATTAATTTTATTGTATTTATAAAGCGCCCTCTATCGAAAGCTATAAAAAACAATAGTTTCAGGATCGGAGTTTATGATTTTCTTTTTCAATGATTTTTGTTTAGACTTAATATTAATATTAATAATCAAATCGATAATTTTTCTTTTTTCTTTTGTTCAATAACATAACAATTTTTATAAATTATTTTTTTTATTAATTTTTTTGAGTATTAATTTGAAATATTAAAGTATATATTTAATATTTACAAAGATTAGATAGATGTCAACAAATTACGTGCCATTTTTTTTTAACAAATATTATAATTTTTAAAAAAATAATCATTGCAGATAGAATTTATTAATAAAATCTGTGTTGGATAAAAGAATCGATTAATATTTTTGTTGATTTGAAATTCAAAATCATTTGTTTATTATTTCTTTTTTTTTTTTTTTTAATACATTATTTTTCATCGTGTATTGAGATTTTAATTTTACATGCAAAATTGATAAGTTAGCTAAAATATAATTGTCAATGAACACCAAATGTTTAATCAAATTTTTTTGCAATTTTTTTACCGAGATAGGATTATTGAATTGATGTATTTTTATTCGAGGAAACGTTTGTATATATTCGTATTGATACACACTTTGTTACAATGTCTCATACATATATGTATACATTTCACATAAGTTAATTTTACAATGTCCTAATATTTACAATTGCGCGATAATTGTTTTATGTACAACAACGAATGTTTATGTTCAAATAAAATAGATAAAATAAATAATTATTTTGCAAAAATATCCGCCATTGATAGTAGAACGAGTTGACATCTGTCTATCGAATAAAGATTGTCCGATACAATAATTCCATTTATTACTTTTTAATTTTCAAATAGGTCTTGATATTAGAAAAACAATTTCGAAGTATATAAATTAACAATATTTATGATAAATATAATTTGATCAATTAATATCTTTAATTGAACTAACCAATTATTTTTTTTTTCAGAAATTGGCAATCAGTGTGAACGAATTCATTCATCCAAATTACAACTTTGTTATTTTATTCTTCGATTAAGTTACAACGGCCCCGATGCGCAACTCATTCTACATCATATAATCTTGTTGCTAATAAAGAAAGATTGATTCTGTTATCGATTTCGTTTCGCAAAGTTTCGTTCGACGACGACTTGACAAATATATTTTTTCTGCCGCTTGTAAGTAATATACGATCGCATTTGTGATAATTTCACCTTAACTTTCATTCCATCTAAACTGTGCGTGTTACTGCGAATGCGTTTGCGAATCGTAACGATTTTCTTTGCGTCTCTCGTGTACGTGATTAACGATGACTGGAAGAATATTACGCTCCTGCGATATTGTAATTTTTTTTTTCCTCGAAGAACACACACGTATTATTTTCCCGCATCATTTTAATTTTGCGTATGGTTTTCAGTTTCGTGTAACCGGCTACCAATGCATCGACACGAGAGATCGCCGTTTCCTGGAAACTCGGAGAGAGGGAGAACCAATTCCGTGTTCGACGTTGCCGAACATTCCGATCGTCAGTCTTTTAAAGGTGCAACAGGAAAGCAGGAACAGGAACGTATTTTCGTAGACTTTTTTTTTCTTTTCTTTTTTCTTTTCTTAAAATTCGACTCGGAAAAGCGGTAATCGCATCGAAACGAAACGGTTAGACACAATTCGTTGGAGAAGAAAGTAAAGGATAACTCGGATAGATACTCTCGTTCGCGCATCACCAGATCGTTTTACGATTCCCTGTACGAAGGTTTCTCGCTAAAAGGCTACAGTAGTATCACGAAGGTATCCGAAACGTAAAAACGGTAACGAGCTATCGGCCGAGCACGATTTACGGCCTTTTACCGTCTTTCGATTTTCTCTAAATCCTTCGTTATAGGATGTACAAAACGCGAATACTACTCTATGTACAAGAAATAACAGGCTATTTACACCGATCATTGTGCGCCCCTGAATGAAATCAATTTTTGAAAAACCAATTTCAATTATTAATTTAATTAACAATTTTCTTTCTTAATTCTCATCATTATCTCAGCATCACTTCACTTATATAATCGGATTCTCGATCAATAAATTTTTATAAACACATTACAAAAATTACAAAAAACTATCTAACAAAAATTTCTATCAATAAAAAGAAGAAGAAGAAGAGAAACGATTAAGGCAAAGGGGCACACAATAACCGGTACAAGTATCCCGGTTTGGGGCGTCCCGGTTCGCGCGTGACGCTTCTTCGTGGTCCACTTTTCGTCACCGGTGTTTTAAAAAGCTCGACGATAAGGAAGAACGGAAGCACGTCGTTTATCCTCGATTCGTCTAGTCGGAAGCGCACACGTACACACTCACGCTCACATGACGCGCGGATGCACACACGGAGGGAGGAGGCGATGTTGGTTCACCACGGCTCCGAACTCGGAGATCTGGAACGTGCATTTCCGAGTGGAAGTTCGCCCGACACGATTCCTCGAGAAGCGAGCCTACAATCACGTGTCACGGAAACGGATAGCGCGCTCTCGTCGAGGCCCAGACCGGGCCCCCGTGTGACGTCACATCCCGCCGCTGGGCAGCACGCTTCCGGCACCGTCGCTGCTCTGGCTCACGCTGCTGTAACTCACGCGGCTCGCCTCGCCGCTCGTACTCACCCCGGAAACGTACTGTAATCACAAACAATTTTACAATTCTCAATAAATATTCGTCGCAAAGGAGGGGGGGGAAGGAAGATCCGGTTTCACCGGCGTGCTCGGTGCGCGTATGTACAGAGTTGTACAGGTAGAAGAATTGATTGGATCGTGATCGAGTTGCTCGTAATCCGGTGTTAAATTAGAATAGGTGCCTGTATTTTTTTCCCTCTGCCCTCTAAAGCCTGGAAAATATCGAGATTTTTCTCTCTTTCCCTCCCTCTCTCTCTCTCTCTCTCTCTCTCTCTCTCTCTCTCTCTCTCTCTCTCTCTCTCTC